CCCAGGCCCCGCTCTCCCCCCAACCCTGGCCCGGGGGGGTCCCAGGTCTTCCTCACCTCTCCGGGGGGCTCCCAGCACCCCCTCACCTCTCTGGGGACATCCTGGGCCCAAAGCTGACCTGGGGGCGGTGGTGCAGGTGCCAGGTGTTCAGGTCCCAGGAACGTCCCCTCTCCTCCCGGGCCACCTCCCGGGCCCTCGTGGCTGCCGTGGCCGCCATGGCCCGGAGGGTCAACGCCAGGTACGAGCGTTACCTGGAGAGGAGCTTCCCCAGGTTCTACGTCCTGTACAGCACCTTCACCTCAGGTGAGGCCCGAGGGGGAGCCCAAAAGTGGGTCCCAGGAGGTGGGATGTATCCTGCTGCTCCAGGTGGAACAGCGACAGCAGCAGCACCACCCCCGGATTCAGTGCTCTGTCCAACAGGAATCCAGGCGCTGTTCCTGGAGGTGAAGGAGATCGGCAGGATCAGATTCAGGATGTCCCGGCAGCGGCTGAAGGTGCAGCAGCTCCCGTACCGGGACATGGAGCGGCTGCGCCAGGTGAGCCCCCTCCCCATGGAAAAGGGCTGGAAATCCTGGGGGATGCACCCCCTCTGCCTAAACACAGGGACTGGGAGCTGCAGCCACCGCTGGGGCCGTGAACTGCAGGGACTCGCAGGGGGTTTGGGGGGTTTGGTGTCGGATCCTGACTCTCTCCTCCGTCTGGAGGCAGTTCCGCAGGGACGCGCTCAAGGCCATTCCCATTGGGATCATCGCCATCCCACCCTTCGCCAACTTCCTGGTCATCGTCCTGATGTGAGTACTGGGGTCCCTGACCCCCAGATTCCAGGGAATTGGGGTTTTCAGAATGAAGAATCCGACCACCCTCTCCCTGTCAGGACAAACACCCAGATCCTGAGGAGCCGGGTGCTGGATTTGCTATCCTGGCTTCTGGGGCCATTGTCTTACCCAAAGAAATCATGGAATCAATTAAAATAATTTAATAAAAGAACTATCAGAGAGACCCTCCCTGGAGTGTCCTCAGCCACGGGCACCTCCATGCACAATCCCTTGGAGTGTCCCTGTCCCCACCAGCTCTTCCGGAACCAGGATAAATCCCCACTAAATCCTGGGATTTTGCAGCTCTGCTGCCCCTCCTGGGGCTCCCAGTCCTGGTTAATGTCCTTGTCTGTGACCTCAGCTCACGGGGGACATGAGGGAAGGCTCTGTAGGGGCCAGGCTGGATATGTGGGATCAGTGGGATCAGGCTGATGGGGTGAGGTCCTGCCCTGGGCTCCCCACGGCCCTGTGGAATAAAATGGAACGCTCCAGGCTGGGGGCAGAACGGGAAAGGACCTGGGGGGGCTGGACATGAGGCCACAGGCACCTGGCTTGTGTCAGCCACAGCGTGGGGACACGGCCAGCGCTGGCCTTGGCAGCGCCCAGGGCTTTCCTTGGCCTCCTCCACAGCCCAGACCCCACCTGCCCCATGCCCCCTGTACCATTCCCTCCCTCAATCCATCTCTCCTCTCTCACCCCAGGTATTTCTTCCCACGGCAGCTCCTGATCCGCTACTTCTGGACGCCGCAGCAGCAGCTGGAATTCCTGGATGTCTATGATTCCATCCGGAGGGACTCATACCCGGGCGTGGTGCAGAGCCTGGCGCTGGCCGCGCAGTCCCTGCCCGAGCCCCGGCCCCGGGAGCTCCTGCAGCAGCTCTGCTCCCAGGTACATCCCCCTCGGTCACACCATCACCCCTTGGGGGGGTTGTCACCTGGCAGAGGTGTCACCTGCCCTCCTGGGGCTCTTGCAGGTGCAGGGAGGTGCCCGGCCCCGCCTGGCCCAGCTCTTGGCCGTGAGGAGTTTGTTCTCGGGGTCTCCACTGGTGCTGAACAGGCTCCAGGTGGATCATGTGGTGAGTCCAGCTCAGTGCAGGTGCTGCCCTGCTCAGGTGTGCCTCAAACTGGGGTTCTGTGCCCCAAAACCAGTCCACGTGTGGATGAAAAGCTGGACAGGTGGCCCTGAAATCCCCCCGTATCCTGGGCTTGTCCCCATCCCATGGGCAGCAGGCGAGGGGGGCTCAGGTGAGACCCCACCTGCAGTGCTGCCTCCAGCTCCCAACATCAGGAGGACATGGAGCTGCTGTGAGTGAACCCAGAGGAGGACTGTGGGAAGGAATTCCTCCCTGTGAAGGTGGGGAGGCACTGGGTGGGATTTCCCAGGGAATGCCCCATCCCTGGAAGTGTTCAAGGCCAGGCTGGATGGGCCACTCGGGCGGGTGGCAGTGCTGTGGGTCCCACTGCTGTTTCAGGAGGGGTTGGATATCACCCAGGTGACCTTCCCCTGTGTCTTGCAGAGGGCCCTGAGCCAGGTGCTGTTCCTGACCCCCCACTTACCGGCCGTTCTCCTGCGGCATCGCCTGCTGAGCCACATCCTGGAGATCCGGCACCTGGACCGGGCCCTGCTGCGCCTGGGGCTGGGGCAGCTCTCTGAGGAGGAGCTGCGAGCGGTGAGGACCCTCAGCACCCCATCCCAGGGCTGTGTCACCCCAGGTGTCACCTTGGGGCACAGGGGGGTCCCCCAGACCCACCCTGGGTGGGTGGCGGTTGCCCTCTCCTGAGAAGTGTTCTCCCAGCCTGTTTCCCACATTGGGATCACACCTGGAGCCACACCCGGGCCCCTGCTCGTGCCATGGCAGGATCCTGGTGTGATGCTGGTGCTCCACGTGCCCACCCCGACCATCTGTGTCCCCCTAGGCCTGTTACCTGCGTGGGCTCAACTCCACTCACCTGGGCCGGGCCGAGTGCTGGGCGTGGCTGGAGCAGTGGCTCCAGCTCTCCTGTGAGCTCCAAGGTACCTGCTGGGGGGACACACACACAGCGGGGCCCCCCGGCTTCTCTGGGCACAGGGAGTGTCGCTCCTGGGGAATTCTGGGGTGAAAGGGGGACTGCGTCCCGCTCTGGGCTGCCAGGTGTGCCTGTCCCACAGAGCTCTGGTGGCAGATTCCATCCCCAGGGGAAAGAAAATGGGAATGGGAGGGAAGTGGAGTGCCCCCATGCCCATCCCAGTGCTCCCAGTCTTCCCAGTTCTCATCCCAGTGCTCCCCTAATGCCCAGTGTCCCCTATGTCCACTCCTGTGCCTGCTGCAGGGCCCTGATCTACTCACTGCCCATCCCATGCCCATCCCAGCACCCCCAATGTCCCCCAGTGCCCCTCCCATCCCGGTCCCAGCACTCCCAGTCTGCCCAGGGCTCCCCTGTGCCAGTCCCAGTGCCCCCAGTCTCCGACCCTGATCCCGTGTTCTTCCAGCTTCCGAAGCTTCTCTCCTGGCCCACAGCATGGTCCTGCTGTCCCTCAACTACAGCCGGCCCTCAGAGTGATGGCCCTGTGCCCCTCACCCGGCCTGGTGCCCCTCACCTTGGCCCTGTGCCCCGACCTGGTGATCCCCAGGCTGGTGCTGCCGAGATCCGGGCGCTTTGCTGAGCCAGCGCCGGGTCCTCACTCCCCTCGGCGCCGTCGGGAGCAGCTGCTGCTCCAGGGCCGAGCACGACCAGGAGACGTGGCTTCGTTATCCCAGTTATTAACTGCATCCCGCTAATTATGGGAGACAGAGGGTGGCTCCCTGGCCCGGGGACGGTTCCGTCGGATCCAGGGACTTTGTGCCGGAGGCTTTTCCCTTGTTTCTTTTCTCCACTGGACAGTCTTAAATGTAACCCCCCACCCCGAAGGGTTCAGAAACGGCCCCAAATCCCCCCTTGGAACCCCCTAAATCCCTGTAAGACCTTCCCAGGAGGATTCTGGGGGTTTGTCTGTCCGGAGCAGGCAGAGGGAGGGAGGGGTCAGGGCTGGGAACATCCCCGAGGGGGGTGGGAAGGGCCGAGTGGGGGGTCCCCAGGCTGCCTCCTCCAAATTCAGCCTCGTTGGAGCTAATTAGACCTTTCCACCTCTGTGTTTCCCACTGGGCAGTGGCGGCTCCGGGGGCTTCAGGGGGTTAAACCTCCCCCTCCACCCCTCCCTGCATGAGGAATTCCCGAACTTCCGAGGTTTATTAAAGCCCAAAGGAATCAGCGGCTTCGGTGTCTTTTGGGAGGGGGCCTTGGTGGCGCTCTGTCCCTCTGGGAGGGGACACTGGGAATGGGGACACCTGGAAAATGTCCCTTTTGAAGCATTTTTGGGGTATAAAGTGGTAGGACATTCCCCCCCTTCTCACTGTTTTTTGGGAATTGGTGACTGCTCCCATGAGGAATTCACTGTGAGGGGATTTAACCCCCTTAAAGCCACAACTCACCGTCCAATTTAACCACTTCTTTTTCAACTTAAATACTCCTTTTAAATACAGCGTTATGCAGGGCAGAAAAGGCTGGGGAAAATTAGTAGTATTGTGGAGAAGCTTTGGATTCACAACATTTGGGAAACTAAAAATGAGAAAGCCAGTGGGAGCTGGGAGGGGGGTGGGGACACACCCAGATTTCAGGGAGCAGGGGACTTAGAAGCACAGGATTGAGCAGGACCCAGCGTTAGTGTGGATTAAATCCAATAAAAGTTATATTAAAAGGCAAAGATCCCCTCAGGTTGCCCCAGGAACAGCGAAATCTGGGTAAAAGTAGAATAAATCCTGTTACTTCTTGCCTTTTTGGGAAGCATCATCTGTCCCCACACCAGGGGATCCATCGGGAGCTGTCACCACCTCTGGGACACGGGGCTGTGGGGAGCAGGGGGGCTGTGGGGATGGAAGCTACAGGAAATAGGGATT